AGATTGTGAAATCTTTTGCTGAACGATTTGTAAACTTGAGATTAGTATCATATGACAGGAACAGCTGTAAATGGACAAGTTTAATCTGGGGAAGATTAATGCTAAACGGTTTAAACAAGGACAAGTTGGAAGGAAATCCGTTCTGAGCAGGTGCTCTGGAAGGGTAAGAAATGCCTGCCTAACAAGCAATTATTATAACTGATGGCTCTTCACTTTTCTTTTTGTCGAACTAACTCATAAAAAGAGATCCGGTTAAAGCTTGGCAGCAAGTGACTAGTGACCCTGCCTGTCAGCGACACATTGTAACCGATAGATCTTCGTAAAAAGAGGTTCGGTTAGGGCTAGCCAGCAAGTGGTCCCAAGAGTAAACAATTTCTGAGTGGCAAGCGCCAGATACAGTTATCTTTAAAACCGATGGTTCTACCTGTTTTTTGTGACTTTGATAGAAAGCGACCCGGAAGAGTAAGCACTGCCTGATTAGAGCCACACACACCTTTATCATTAAGACGCATGTTCATCACAAGCGCCACACAGAGCTATTTTTCTAACGCAAGGCTCTTCCTGTTTTTTGTGACTTTGATAGAAAGAGAGCGGATATTTGTTGAAGAAGGAACAAGATATTCAATGTCGTTTAAACGTAGTTTGATGTTAGAAGTTGAGCCGCTGGAATCCGATACAAATCCTACTACACAATTAACTTACAATTTTGAATATCAACTTAACCAGGAATCGAGCCAGTTTCTAATCTTGTTGACAATAACTAAATGTCAGATCAGTTTAAAGAGACGAGATCACACTAATGTTCTTGCTCCGTTTAAATTCTTGATTGGAGACGGTTTAGTTTTAGTATGAATAATTTAAATAAATATATTTCATTCCGTTATCAACGAATTAGGAAATATCCCTAGTCAAAGAAAATCGTTGGAAACTCTCAGATGGCCGAGACCACAACCCAACAAACATGATTCATTCACGTTCTGTATAATAGTTATATAAAACCATTGTTAATATTTTACACTATACATAGGTTGTTTTTATTATTTATGTTTAAGGAAACTCGTAAGTAGGTCCACTTGTTAATCTGCTGTCTTTCAAGTGAAACATTTAACAAAAGATAAAATATTGAAACGAAGAAACAAAAGTTAAATCATCTCAATCGATTAATAATGAACGAAACATAATAAACAAATATCGATCGATGGCCATGGTAGTTGTTCCTAACTTTCAAAAACAGATTAAAATCAATCGAACATTAAAGATGCCTGTTGTGAACAGTCAGAAGATGGAAGAAGAAATGAAATTCAGTGACGTCTGGAGTATGAGGGGGGGGGGGGGGGATGGAATGGGTGAAAGGAGGAGGCCAAACCAAGCCAGCCTCCCACCCAAAGCCATCATCTAATGTTTCTTAAAAACGCCAAAACTTAAGAAATGTTAATGACTGAAATATATAAAAGACTGATAGATAGACGACTGATAGGAGACAGATAGAAGATGATATATAGATAGACGACTGATAGGAGACAGATAGAAGATGATTATAGATAGACGACTGATAGGAGACAGATAGAAGATGATATATAGATAGACGACTGATAGGAGACAGATAGAAGATGATATATAGATAGACGACTGATAGGAGACAGATAGAAGACAGATAGAAGATGATAGAGCATGTTGATAACAAAAGAAGAAGCACCGGAAGTAAAAAACTGGTAATAACTTGTCAATTAAAATATCAATACTTCAAATGTCAAATTTAATGTTTTCTGAATAAAAAAATGAATATAAACTTATAAAATGATAACGTATTGAATTTGTAGCCTTGTCAAAGATTCATTTTTTTTTATTATTTAAAGACTTTCTTTTTCTTCAATGACTATGATTTTCTAAATATTTCATATACATTTGACCCTAATTATCATTTTAAGATTTTAACGTCATGAATTATTTAAAATATTATTTACAGCGCGGACGTCAGAGGAAGTTTGTTACAATTTCCATACGTATGAAAATATATTTTCAATCAACAGAGCGCAAACGTCAGAGTGCATGAGTCAAAATCAAATAAAGAAAACTGACAAGGATATGCTGCAGTTCGCTCTGTAATTCAGGTATATTCTTTCTAATGCTTAATTCTTGAAAATTTTGACCAGAATTCTACTTTTTTTTCAGCTTTCCAGAACAATATCCTTACTAAATAAATACTTGTATTGATAATCACATCTTTCATAGACTTAATATAATCTTATTCTGGCCAACGATTGTTTAACTTTGAAACATTAACTTCCACCTTCTATATCCCTCCTGCCCTAAATTAAACCAATATAACATCTCTTTAATAAATATTGAAATCTGGATCTTTCATAGAATTAATAACATTTCTGTATTTAATTGAATTTGGTAGAGTGTCTTTCAGCCATTGGTCGAGATCATTCCCCATCACTCTCACCCCTTTCTTTATTCCACCTTGCCCAAAATTTACCGAGATATTGTATCTCCCAAATATATATTGAAATCTTATTTCGGTATTTTACTGCATTTAGTAGAGTGTCTTTCAGCCATTGATCGATATCACCCCCCTTCCCTCTTACATTTCTTTATCTATTCCAAATATTTACCAAAACAATATCCCTTCTAAATTAATATTGATATGTGTATTCTATAGAATCAATAATGTTTCAGTATTTGATAGAGAATTTGTTGAAATATCTGTCAGCCATTGATCGGGCTTTAATTAAGCCAGAGTTAAGTTACAGTTCCACGTGATAATCTCCTACTTTGAAGTTTTTATTGATTCCAGACAGGGCGGATTAACATCTTCAGATTTCCAAGATTCTGGCAGTTCGAATAAATCTTTAATTTAACCTTAAAATCATGACCGAGTTGTTCTTCCCTTAAGTCGTTGAACTTTCAATAATACATTTGTGGTTTGCAATCTGTTCCACTCTGTTAGTTACGCTTGTACAAAACGTCTTGTTATTTGAATGCGACAATGAACAGAAGCCCCTTGTGCTACATCAAAGATACTTTGACAGTTTAAATTTTCAAAAATGCTTTAGTCACAGAATTTCCCTCAATGCACACTGCATGACGTTGCTTATTTTCATTAGCCTAAAAGTTGTAGTAAAGCAGGAAGTTGATTTCTATTTCAAGTTCATTTCTTAACAGATATTTATAAATTTCTAAAATCCGGTTGACATTTTTAACAGATATTCTGGCTGTTTCCAAAGTTGGATTTTCAAAAATATAACAGCTAATCAGTTTCAGCTGATAATAAAGTCCAGATCGGGAAGTTCTTGTTAAATTTTAATTTGTACTTTTTCAATTCGACCTTTTAAAAATAATTAAAATAGAGTTCAGGCAATCAGTTTTCTCTTCAATATTAAAGTGTATTTTTTGTAAAAACAAACCTTTCGAGATATTATCGGTAATAAAAAATATTTCAGTATAAAGTGTCAGAATTATCTCCCAGTATATTAAGGTTGCAATATTACTATCACTTGACAAATCACTGCTAAAGGCCGGAAGTAAAGAATCTCGCCAAAGAAGACACAACAGAATTACTATTCGTTTCCGAGACAAATTCAGCCTTACGGAAACGGCCGAGGATTGCCGATTGAGCTAGCCTGAACGTCACAAGTAGGTAATTAAGGCCACACCGCTCTTGCCATCTTCTAAACCACGAAATAATACTTCGAAATGTTACTAATAAGACGCAAAATTATTATCATAAAAACTATGAAATAGCGATAATTGACTTGTCAGTTTGTAAATAGACAAAATGAAGCATCATCTCCAGAGACCACCAACTTCTATCACATTTAATCAACATTTCAATCTTCTAAAATACATTTATTATAGCCTATCAGTGGGGAGTGATGGAAATAAAAAGGCGTAACGCAATAATTACTGTGGATTATACAATATTTCGTTGTAATTTTTTATCATTCATTCATTCATTCATTCATTCATTCATTCATTTTTTGAAGGAATTATGCCATTTTCGTACATTATTTTCTTGTACTTGTAAGACTATTTACGTATATTCAAGACTCAAATCAACCCCCGAAAATGTCGCACCTGTTCATTCTACACACCTCTTGCAATTTCCAATTGGAATGTTTTCTTTTACATTGTAATACTTATTCGATATCACACATTATATCATAATAATCAAAATAAACAAATTGATCACAGGTTGAAAGTAAAGCCACTTACACACTTGTAACACTCATACACACACTGTACAGGGAAAATTACCCAGATCGCAGGGCAACCCAAGTTAAAATGGGGCAGTGATAGGGGTATGGATAAATGGATTCAAAAATTATCCTTTCAAAAGTGAGACCTCATTTACCTACATTACATTATGGCTTTGGTAGTGAAAACATTCATTTGATCTTCAGTAAACATCACTCAGCGAGCACAGGCATTATTATACTGTGTGGGCTACTCACCAAAACGTTTTAGATAACGATCAAAGTTGTGAAAGCTGAATCAGCATCGATTTAGATCAAAGTGTAGTCCGTATTGCCGACAACATAGGGTGGGTATCAGAAAAAAGGTAACACTTTTCATTTCAGTATTATTCATCAAGAAGCAGGTCTAAGACCATAATATTTTGACCTCTTCAAGAGATATTAATAGATTCATGGGTTGAAACACTTTGAAATTTTAGTATTTTCAAAATTCTTGTGAATAATTGCAATGCCGATATTACAAAAGCGATAACTCACGCTATGAAATGGGTCATTATGCAACGTCACACATCATGCTGTGGTAGGGGTCGATACGCCTTTCACTAGTCGACTAATATTATATAATAAGCGAATTTAATTCCATTTTGATCCTTACTTCTCTGACGACGTTTACACTTTCAAATTTTAGTTTTATTATTTGCCACTTTCATTTTAACTAATTGCTTAAAAGCTGTGATTAGCACATAGCTTTTCTACTGGTGTTCACTACCCACGTTTAAAATATCACTAACGGTTTAAATTTCACACCTCTTTATTGTCGTTTTCAACACGTTTCATAATATCACACATTGTAACGTGACGCACTGATAACACACGGCTATAGAATAATTGATCTCTATATTTCTTTTTCACAAAACAGATTAAAGGATGCACTTGAAAGATCAAAGCAATTGGTTAACGTTGTTTGATGAAATGTTTACATATTGTCTGAAAACACATTAATAAAAAGTGTGATGCCGTCACACCGTCACACCGTCACACTGTGCAGCTCAGCAGTAATAGAAAATTAATTGTCACCGTGATGGAATCTGCGATAGACGTTGAAAAAAGATACATCATGCATCACGTTTGGCAGATAAAATCTGCGATAGATAAAAATAATCATACATCACGCTGTGATAAAGACTACAATTTGACAACACACGTCACGCTGTAAAACATGCCACATTGCATTGTTACTAATAATGTAACACCACACGCCCTGCCGCCTTATAGGTTTTTATCACATATCACGTATCACATATAACGTCACACATCACCCTGTGATGGCCAACAGTCACACTGTGTTACATTTCACATTACAACTTCACACATCGGGCTGTGATATAATATATCGCGTTATCACATAATAATGTCACACAATACGCTATGATCGAGACACCTGTATAACGTCATACAAATCCCACGATATATTTTCAAGATCCATTGTATCACTGTGATAGGGTCATAACATAACGTCATACGTCAAACGCCACGCTGTGATAGGGTTATAATGTAATGTAACGTTACGCGTCACGCTGTGAAAGGGTCATAATGTAACGTCACGTGTCACGCTGTGATAGAAGTCATAATGTAACATCACGCCTTTACTTGATCTATATATCACAGCACACTAATTTCAAAAACTGCCTGAATAGTGCTTAAATATTTTAAAATATTCCTAGTCCAGGGAAATACTAATTCCTAAAATCTTAACAGAGCATTACTTATCCTAGACGTTACTTGCTAAGCAAGATGTGGAGTCGTCACTCGAATCCATCATGGGTTCATCCTCGACCAATAACGATTCATTTTCTACGTCACTCTCTTTATTTGGTAGTTTTTCACGTTCTGACACATCAAACGACAGTTGTCTTTCCCTGAGAGCACCACGTCGACCGGAAGTGTCAACAGAGAGTTGCCTCCCTCTTTTCGGCTGCCGATCGGGAATGTCCACTGAAAGATGTCTGCTTGCTATAGTTTTTCGTTCAGGAACATCGACTGAAAGTTGTCGTTCTCTGAGAGCACCACGTCGTCCTGTCCCGTCAACGGAAAGTTGTCTATTTCCTTTGAGTTGTCGATCAGGAACATCAACCGAAAGCTGTCTTTCTCTGAGAGCACCACGACGTCCCGTTCCGTCAACAGAAAGTTGTCGCCCTTTACTAACTGGTTGATCGGGAACGTCTAAAGTCTGTTGTCGTTGCCTTGACGTTTGTGCGTCAGACATTACAGATCTCAGAATAGCACTTTTCTTAACCGAATTATCAGGAATATCCACGGAGAATTGTCTTGTGTTCGGTTGGTGATGTCTGGGAATATCCACTGAAACCTGTCTTCCAAAGATCATGTCCCTGTTTGGAAGTTCTAAAGAAGAATCGCGATCCGGAACGTCCATCGACATCTGTCGATCCTTGAGTCTTTTTCTGCTGCGATCAAATAGATGAAGAGCTTTCGGTGACATCAGAAGACCACCGCGTCGTTCAGATTCTACGATTTTGGCCACGGCGATGGGGAGTGGTTCGCTAAGAGGACCCCTGGGAACAGCACTACCCTGGGTCTGAGTCTTTATTTCAGGGGTGGATCTAGACAGTTTGGGTTTAGTTATTGTATCAAGGGTCAGAAGCTTTAACGAACATTCATCAGCAGATTTCGAAAGAGTTTCGCCCCCTGTTTCCAAGGGTTTATTATGAGTGTTTAAATTCTCGATGTTTGCTTTCGATGACGTATTTAAGCTAGACAATACCAATACTGGTTCTTCATCAACTTGATGAGAAATTGTCGGAATTTGAGAGTTTGGTGGTTTTTCATAAATTTTATCATTGATGATTGTTTCGTTGTTTTTCACTTCCGGGTCATATTTGTTATTTTTAGACTCGTTTGGAGAGTTTGTGTTAAAACGAACGCTTTGCACACTGTCACTTCCGGAAGATTCCGAAGACGACATTGACGAAACCAGACTGCTTTTATCACTAGCTGTTCCCGAACTATATTCGTTTTCGGAACTGTCCTGATTTGATCTGTTGCCATCTATTTGGCTGGTTTTCTGAACTCCGCTTCCACTTGGTTCTGGCACGACTATGGTCCGTTCAAGTCGCTCACGTTCCAGAGCAGCCAGTCGAGCGGCTACCATTTGAACACGTTCCGCTTTAAACGTAGTGTACGGATCACTTTTCATTTGAAAATAAACGTCAAATGTCTTGTCCTCTAGCATTTCCCGCCTTTCTCGTTTGAGATACGTGATAATCCCGACTATGATTCCCATAGAGTAGAACAACAGGGTCACTACGATGTATAGTAAGGCATTTCGATCGTCTTTTGCAAGCATATCCCCCAATGGGGTGGTTACATTAGTGGACGTCGCGGTAGTGCATGGTAGCATGTAGGCTACAGGAGGCATGGCCTATTGAGGACACTCTAATTGGTTCTTAAACATTGCCTAGAAACACGAACAGGCTACTCCTGGATTTGTACATTATGTAATATAACACGAACAACCTACTTCGAGGCGTATAGTATAATGTAATGTTACACGAACTGTCTAATCCATGACTCGGTTCATTATGTAATATCAAACGAACTAACCATTTCCTGTCGGTGAGCTGTAAGTAGAAAACCACAAAAATATTGGTTGAGATTGGGTTATTTCATGGTGTATTTTCCTGGAAAGAGAAAAGTTACAATTAAAATACATTGTTTAACAATCAGTTGCTATAAATATCATATATAATGGATTATATTTTTCATTGCGAAGTACTTACTCACTTATGATTGATATACTTCCTCATGTGAAAAGTTCAGTTACCAATGTTCCCCCAATATGTTGTTTTGCGGCTGGGATTGTTAGAACTCGGTTTAATTATTTAAGCAATGAATGATCACAAACACATTAATAATATATAAAAACCTTTTACCGTACATACGTTATTAAACGCTTAAGTTATATTGAAATCACCACAGATGTCTGATTGAGTGCCCTGATAAACAAAAACAATAGTTTAGCAAACGTCTTTACTGTCTCTTTAATAACTTTCCAATACCATATAAGCTAGAGTCTACAAAGGAGACGTTCATTCATCAGTTGGCTTTCTGTTCTATCTAGTGCAGATATCCGACGCAATATTTATAGCATACTACTACACGGGTCGGTCTAGGCTCTCCACACCTTAACCTCGTCATCTCTCTTCATTTGCGCACCTCTTTGATGTCATTCCCAACTAATTTAATGATATCACTGTATCACACCCCGAGAGACGAATCAAATTAATCAATAATCCTCTTTTACGTAATTTATTTTTCACAAGTAAAAGAAACCAAAGAAAGATCCAAGGTTTACGTTTATTTATACGTAATAGGTAGCTCATTAACAGTTACACAAATAAATAACGAAATAAAACTATAGATAGAAATAAAAGAATTCTTCAACTGACATACACTCTTGAAAATTGAAGCCATAGAAACAATAATTACAATGATTAGCATATTCAACCAGACAAAGACCTGCCAATGACTGAAATAAACATCCTAAATTTCACCGTTTTGGTTATATTTTTGTACACTTTGAAACAGTATTGTGTGACTAAGATCATGTAATTCTTTTATTCAAAAAAGGGAAATTATGTTAAGAATCATTGCTAAGTTATATTTGAATTCATTGTGGGGTAAGTTTTCTCCTATAGTACTAAACAATTTACAGTTTCATATCACTTCAAATGCCTTAAACGAATTCTATACTGTCAGATTGCTGGTACAATGACATTTTTTACTGTGGTCGGAATGGAACTACAACATACCAACTATTGTGCTCACGGTATAAGACGGAGTTCGGAATATCTTGACATTGTGAAGATGAAGTTTGTAATAGCTTGACATTGTGAAGATGTAGTTTGTAATAGCTTGACATTGTGAAGATGAAGTTTGTAATAGCTTGACATTGTGAAGATGAAGTTTGTAATAGCTTGACATTATGAAAATGAAGTTTGTATTAGCTTGACATTGTGAAGATGAAGTTTGTAATAGCTTGACATTTTGAAGATGAAGTATGTAAGAGCTTGACATTATGAAGATGAAGTATGTAATAGGTGACTGTGTGTATCACTAGATATTTACTGAAAGATTTGTAAAGATGTATTTTATAAAGAAGTGAAAGAAAACATCCTGTCCTGGTTGAATCAATAATAGAACAATAAGAGTAAAAAACAATAGAAGGTTATATTCTTCATAAATTGTATGAAATAGTCTATGTCCTCAAAGCGAGGTGGATTGTTTGAAATTTCAATTTTGAATATCTGGTTATGACGTATTACAATACCAAATATAGCGTTGTTGTCAGTTACCAGTTACATTCATTCAATTATCGAACACAACTTTAAATACTGAATGTTCTGTTAAAATATAGGTCGGAGAAAAATTCATCGAAATAGCATTTTGACTCAATACACCCTAATAACAAAATGGCGTGATACAAAGTCAATAACGTTTCGTGCATGTAACAGAATAATTCTGTGTTTGTCTCCAGCTTGCCGGAGTAATCAAATACAGTATGTCTTAATGTTGTCCCAAAGGACCTTGCATTGAAATCAGTTACAGACAAAACTAAATTGTAAATAGGTAATCTTTCATTAAAACCAAAATTAGTCCAGTAAAATTCAATATTTACCTGGAAATATTTTTGAATTCTACTTTACTTCAATAGGTAATATCCAAACTAACCAACAGATTGATCATTGTTTATTCTGTTCGAATGAAATGGCCTGTTTTTATATGAAACAAGAAAAACAGAGAACATTTGAGACTGGTATCATATAAAATTCATAACCCACGAGTTGGAAATATAATATCTAAACAGAATTCACTTAGTTCCTAACTCAACAATCCTACTTATTACCCGAATTTTACACAATTATATTTCTCAATTACATTTAAAGGGACATTTTCGGACCAATCATACTTTAGTCTCAGAAATGGGAATTTTTTAGCGAAGCCAATCTGTAATAGCATTCACAGCTCACCGTCGAAATTTGAGCCTTCAAATCCATGTGCGTCGAGAATTATGCGCGTTTGCAAATTAGAAAGACGAGTTTTCTTGAGACACTGCCATATAATGAAAGAGGAAAAGAAATGCCTAGTTTGAGATATTATTAAAGGAATTATGCGATTTTCGTACATTTTAGTACTTCTGAAGATTATTTACATTATATTCAAACTCAAATCAACCTCCCAAAACGGTGCACCTGTCCCTTTAATCTGCTTAATATCCATCCAAATATCGAACCAAACTATCAACACCAAATGATCGGTTGTAATAATTGTCGGATTTATTGAAATACCAAAATGGCGTGATACACAGTCAATAAAGTTTCGTGCATGGAACAGAAATAATTCTGTGTTTGTCTCCAGCTTGCCAGAGTAAACAATTCATTTATGTTTAATTGTGTCCAAAGGACATTAATTGCATATTAGAATTTATAATCAAATTAAGCCCTGTCTACACAATCATACATTTGTTCAATGCATCGATGGGTCATGTTTGATGATGTTGGACAGAAATTCACGACAAGCTTGGACATGGTCAAACAAATGTATGATGATGTTTTGAACAAATGTATGATGATGTTTTGAACAAATGTATGACGATGTTTTGAACAAAAGTATAAAAAGTATTTCTTAACCAAATTTAATCTAGATTCAGAAACATATATACCGATTAATGTTTGTTTACTAATTTTTTAAAATTTATAGCCTACCTGTATATAGCCTTCACTGTAACATCGATCAAGTCGTTCAATGGAGTCTCATCAAATTTTAAATTCGAACCCTTTAACGATTCATGTTATAACCCATTTAACACAATTTTATGGTACACTACTCTTGGGTTTTATTGTTCACAACGTTTCAACATTTTACATTGTCATCAGTTTTATAGTATAATGCTCCTGGGTTTTATTATTCTCAACGTTTCAATAATTTACATTGTCATCATCAGTTTATATGGTAAACTACTCCTGAGTTTTATTGTACACAACGTTTCAACAATTTGCATTGTCATCATTATAAGTTTGTATGATATACTACTCCTGAGTTTTAATGAACACAGCGTTTCAACAATTTACATTACCATCCTCAGGCACTCATATTATTACAGTGTGTTCACCATAAGACATACGAAATAACTCAGTTCATAACGTTATCAATAGAGTTTCGAACTCTATGACACCATTTTCACCCTCACAGAAACGAAACAGTACATTTGATGATATTGCAAAATCAAATCGAGGACATTGTTTTCATGTTAACGAAAACGAAACACCGTTATTATACTGTAACATCATAGAAATAAGACAGTTTATAGTGAAGCGAGCGATTAATCCTTCCCATGGAGCCTCATAAAGTTTTAAATTCGAACCCTATGACACTGTTTTCATCGTAATGTCATACGAGGCATCACAGTTGATAACAATGTATAGAATTGAAACACAACTCAAGGATATCGTTTGTTCTGTAACATGAAATGAAACTATTAATCCTACCCGGGAACCACATCTTGTTTTAAATTATTAATAAGCTAGAGACTGATGTTTTAATTGTTACTATTGGATACCACATATTATCACTTCAGTTAAACTTTACAAAGAAATCATTAAATCTACTCTCTAATGTGTTCTTGCTCTTTCCTGTTCGGTGAGCTTGCTAACTTTGCTGGTTATTTATTCTTCTCTGTAATCAATTAAACGATTCCTTGTGAATTTAGATTGACCTGTCCTGTTCGGTGACCTTGTTCATCTTGCAGTTTATATGTCCTTTCTTGTAATCAATTAAACAATTCAATGTACTCCGTTCTTGCTCTTTTTCATCTTCACAATGTCAACCTGTTACGAACTGCGTCTTATACCTTGACTGTAATAGCCACATTTCTTGTATCACGGAAGTTAGTTAATGTAGCCAATCAGGGCCCTCGTCATAATCTATGTAAAACAATAATCCATCTATTATTACAGTCTGTCTGTACCTGGCTGAATAAAGAAACGAATGCGAGATTTACAGTTTAAAGGGTGTGCCATTTTGGGGGGTCGATTTGAGTCTTGAATATATGTAAATAATCTTCAGAAGTACTAGAAATGTACGAAAATCGTATAATTAAAAAATACCTCAAACTATGAATTTCTTTTTTCTATTTCTATAGATGTCTTTTCTATATTTGACAGTGTCTCTAGAAAAGATGACTCGGCTTTTCAACCTTCAAACGCCGATAATTCTGGACACACATGGATTTGAAGGCTCAAATTTTGACGGTGAGCTGTAAACTCTATTACTGATTGACTAAGCTAAAAAAAATCAGTTTCTGAGACCACGATATGAGTGGTCAATAAATGGTGCGCCTGTCCCTTGAAGGCCAAGAAA